TCCGGCGTCTTTGATTTTTTATTTTCCCACATTTCTAAATCGTCACAGCTACTAATAATAAGTTACACAATATTACACTTTTAAATCAGAATAAAACAAATTTATTAAAAAATCGCTTTTTTTTCCTATCTATGCTGATAGCCTTGAGAGGCCATTTCAGCTTCACCCTAACGTGTAGGTGAGCTCACGGGGCTCAAACCGGAGTGTTGCTAACACTGACCCTAGCAAAAGCAATGCTTCGCAGAATCTACCAGCTGATCGGAAACGCGACCCACTGAGAAGATCCGGCGAGAAACTCAGTGGGCTGTGTCTTTGGGTTAATTCGCTCGTCGAGCCCTTCGTCGCAAGCGACGGGTTCGACGAGGACGGTGACCGGTGCTAGTGGTACCTAAAAGCACCGTTAATGGATCAATATCGCTTGTCATATCACGTTCCCGCCAAAAAGAGCGCAGAATATATTTTATTGTTTGTCGTTGTACGAGAGCAGAGACTTTGTATTTAAATAGTCATTGAAGAATGAATATATAAAGGAAATTCGTTGACATCACAAATTGAGTGTCCGTCTTTAGTCATGAGGTCGATGCTTACTTAATTGTGTGATAATAATTGTTGTCATAGCCTTGAAAACGGTGACGCGTCCCTCTTTCACAGCAGAAATAGGTTTCATGATAACAAGACATGATAGTAATTAATAATTTAGAATTAGTTCAGAATTAGTAAATCTTTTCAGTTTTCTCAAGTCGTAGTTGTAATTGAAAGAAATTTTACGGTTAATATCTTGTTTATTTTTTTATGTCATTCTATTAGGTACGTACTCAACAAATGTCCACGATTGACTTCCACGATGAAGGAATAACATTGTGTAATAAAAATCAAACCAGAAAAATTATAATTTGCGTAATCACTGGTATTTATTGAGTCCCTAGTGCCCTAAAGATATGCCGCCGTATAACGCATGCAATTTAGGATCTGAAAAGCAGACCAAAGCCGCTGTCGTGAAGAGCAGTGGAAAGTTTGGCGCTCAGACGGCGGTCTTCTCACGGAAAACCGAACACAAATAGTCTTGTCACGACGCTGCGAAATATACAACCTTGATTGTTTAGATCTATTAGTATACGACGCGTATTACGACAATTTATTAAACCCGTTTGCATTAGTAGGATTGTATTAGCAGTTTTTTTATGGCTTAGATAGGTGGACCAGCTCACAGCCCACCTCGTGTTAAGTGGCTACTGGAGCCACCCACCTTGAGATATAGGTTCTAAAGTCTTAAGTATAGTTACAACGGCTGCCCCACCCTTCAAACCGAAACGCATTACTGCTTCACGGCAGAAATAGGCAGGGTGATGGTACCTACCCGTGCGGGCTCACAAGAGGTCCTACCACCAGTAATTACGCAAATTATAATTATGCGGGTTTTGATTTTTATTACACGATGCACCGTGGAAGTCAATCGTGAACATTTGTTGAGTACGTATTTCATTAGAAAAATTGGTACCCGCCTGCGTGATTCGAACACCGGTGTATCGCAAGATACAAATGCACCGGACGTCTTATCCTTTAGGCCACGACGACTTTAGAATCTCTTTCGATGGAAACCTCAATTTCTTTGCATAACTACTGTTATTTCAAAAAGCATGACCGTTTCACATCGGACATGGTATTGACCTAAACATAGGGAGATATTCATGGCTAAGGGAATTTGGGAGAGGGAAGTTTTAACAGGACTAGAGATCCCGCAGTAGTCGAAATTCGACTATAATTAATTGGAATTGTAAGTTTGTACACTATTATGATTGTACTTCTATAATCACAAATTTCGCCAAGACTACACTATAAAAAATATTAACAAAGACAAACAATATCTACTCTCAATTTGACAACAGACGTCAAGAACAAAAGTTTGATAATAAATAGTAGGTATGCATGCGTGTGTGCGTCAAATACATGGTATGTAGTGTGTGTAATGTTTTCTTTATTGATTTAATGTAACTTTTATGCATTATTTTAAAAAAAAATTAGCCTTGTCCACTTCTTCTCTATATTCTCTATAAGTGTGTAAAATTTCATACTCCTCCGTCCGCGCAATTTTCGTAAAAAGGGATACAAAGTTTTTGCTTCACGTATTAATATATAGATGGTGCTACTAAGGACGAGTCAAGGGAACTGCAGTGACGGTTTGACGTACTCGTGTAATTGATATATAGCTTAATAGAGTATTACAAGTCCGGGGTCCTCTTAATTCAAGACTCCCTTACCCAGTTTCAGAAACATAACACTCAGCTATAAGCACTAGATAGAAAAACACTTAACTAATACCCATCGTAGTCTGTTGGCATTGAAATTGTTTTTTCATTAGCGTAAACTAAGAATGTTAGTGCAATTTTACCGACACAAATAGTTATGCGGGCTTAATACTGAAAGATATGGTACTGATGCCTGTCGTAGGGATTTATAGGTTGTAGGTAGGTAGGGTTTTTGTGGTTCAATCTCCCGTCCCTGAGTACTCGTGCGTAAATTCTTTACGATACACGTATAATAATTAGATTAGGTATTATGGATTTGGAGAATATTACTATATAACACATTGACTGCCGTGTAGGTCACCGGTGCGCTACGTGGCGCACTGAAGTAACTATGTCGAGTTCTTTCTTCGATCTTCTTACTAAGGCGCCGGAATATCTAGTAGATTATGGGAAAGACGAATACGAACGAAACTGAGAATTAATCTATATCTAAGAGACATGAAATACTCAAACATATTTTAAAAACAAAAGAAGGCAAACTTAGGCAATCCAGGTCCTAGGCGGCCTGACGGGCTGCCGTACTGAGGCGGCTGACGTTTCAGAGCCTTCGATTCGCCTCGAAGGCTCCGTCGGCCGGGCGTCCTTCGGGTGAGCTGCGCTGTCTGGTTGCAGTGTTGGCTGCGGTAACCCCCTACCTTATCCGGGTTCTGACCTCGGAGGGGATCGGACGCTTGGGCGAAGAGTGCAGGGGAGTCGTTTAGTGGGTAGGGCCCAGAAAACACCCTTGGGCCCGCGGTCTCGCAGTGGCGGACCAGTCCCACATACCCCGTACCCCACATACCTCGTAGGAGGTTCGGCCCCCGGCCTGAAAAAAATAAAATAAAATAAAATTAAAGGCAATCCAGATCCTTAATAGCTGAAATCGACAATTCTTCCATTGCGCCAAATAGGCCATCGGTGACCTACATGCCTGTCAACTCTTTCATTAGTGGACATGTTCATTGACAATTTCAGAGGCACAGGCTTGTTAGACTCGCACATTATGCAGTACCGTGGTTTTCGTGGAGTCGGAGTGGTGGAACCCGATGGGTTTTAGTCGGTAGTCGGTTTTGCGGGACGGGTCTTGCGTGGCTGACGCCGTGCAGCGTCTGGCGCGCCTTTCTCAAGGCAAAGTCTTCCGGCAGGAATTGGAAGAAGAATGGGACCTCGGTTTTCTGCCTCTTCTTCTCTGGAGGCACCAGAGTACAACATAGCCCGGTCTGTTACCCCTCTCGACCGAGTATCCGTAAACGGATTCCCTAGCGTTAAAAAAAGGCTTCTTAGGCCGCTTTTCTTTCACGTTGCTTTCCATAAAGTATTGACGATAGAGCGTTCTCCCTTAAAAACATTGTTGCGTCATGGACATTTCCTGAAATATTTTAGCCGCATCAACAGGTTCTGGGCCACAGTTTTACCAGACCTCTCTAACATGCCGTTAGTGATAATAACTAACTTAGCTGCGGTGATTGTCGATGTCAATAAGCGACGGAGATCGGATTTGAGAGCAAGTGGGTCGCGATACAAGGTCAACGAGAACTGAATTAATATTAGTAGTTCTGAATACGTACACGTATGAAATTGCACTTTATTTATTTATTTAAACTTTCCCCAGGAGATGCGCTTAAAGACGCATAAAGTCACCAGGCCGATTGCTAGATAGATTGCTAGCGCACACCAGCTCTTTCGCTTGGCAATAGATAAGGACTAGTTTAATATGACATGTCCTTCTTCAAACGAGGCTTATGGAGAGTATTAAGCGGTAGGCAGCGGCTTGGCTCTGCCCCTGGCATTGCTGAAGTCCATGGGCGACGGTAACCACTCACCATCAGGTGGGCCGTATGCTCGTCTGCCTAGAAGGGCAATAAAAAAAAAAAAAAAATAATAATAATAACTGGGAACGAATCTGGCCCCATCATTTTCGGTATAGGCAGCGGCTTGGCTCTGCCCATGAAGTCCATGGGCGACGGTAACCACTCACCATCAGGTGGGCCGTATGCTCGTCTGCCTACAAGGGCAATAAAAAAAAGGAAGGATAAACACACTTATATAGTTACGTTTAAATATCTACATTAATAGATAATAAACATCCAAACAAAGAGCAAACAAAGTTATCACAAAATGTTTTCCCGATGTGGGAATCGAACCCACGACTCTCAGCGCAACAGTTAGGGCCGTTAACCACTGCACCACGGAGTCAGTCAAGTTTGTATTATTAGATGGTCAATCTCCAGTATACTAGAGGCACCTTATGAACTTGCTTTGGTTTCGCTTGCTACTGAACTTCACAGAATTACCCGCTAAGTCTGTCTGAGGGTTTGCTTAAAATTTAATAGATTTCGGCTAGCCCTTTGCGGAATCTTTAAGGAACATACAAATTTTATATCGACAAGTATATAACTCTAGTAGAAGCATATATGAAAAGAAAATGGAACAACAAATTGTTTTATAGGCAAAGGTTTTAATACGTAGCATAGACGTAACAATTACTAATTCTATTGTAAGGTTTAATTTCGTTTTTTTTGACATCAAATTATTTTCGGAACGCTTTATAGTTTCCGTGGTGACGAACGACTGAGTCTGAAACTCGGGAAAACTGAACTGAATAACAATACGTGTTATAACAAAATAAATTAATCATCCGAATTTTCCTGATAAGAATATAGGTGTATAAATACAGCCTTCGGTAAACTGGAACTGACATTCGCGTCAGAACGATCGAGTCGGACGTACGCGATTATAATCGAATAAAAAAAAATGACAATCGAATTATAAAATTATTTTGTCTTTAAAATAAACAGTTTAGTTACTTACTTAGTACTAGAGTTTAGTACCTAGTGTAACGGAATTGTTATCATTCTTATTTTTGTTTTTGTAAGTGAACGTTGATCGTCTTCACGGTGAGTTGTTTTTTTTTTGTTTTTTTTTTATTTACACTTTAGTTATATACATTTATATTTATTTTATTTTGTGATAAGAAAAACTTTGTTTTGAATTTCTTTGAATAATCTAGAAAATGTGTGCTGTTACCATCTTCTGTTACTTAATTTGTTTATTTTATTTTATTGTTGGGCATCAATGGGCAGCAATGAAATATGTCACTTTCGTTTGCCACAAAAAACACAATATAAATTTCTCGTCAATTGTGTGATGGATAATGTAAGATCTGTTGAAAATTTTAAATCTAGGCTTGAGTCTTAGTCCTTCACATACAGTTATTATACTCAACATTATGGCCAATTAGACGAGGCACAAGATTAATCCGCAGACGATGGCAAATAACAATTAGTTGCACAGATAATGTTAAAATCATTCTTAAGTATTTTTTAAAAACCGAAATAGAAGTGCTTACATTTTTTTCACTTTCAAATTTCGAAAAACAAAACGAAAATACAATGATGCAAAAAAGACATTAGAATTGAGTACGGTAATACTTTTGAGCAATGCAATTATTATGATGGTATCTATTTTCTTCTTTCTTATCTCTAGATCTTTCTATGTTATAATTATCGTTTACTCTGTACAATTTTGTGTTGGTTTAATTTCAAAGTGAGTATATTTAAAAAAAATCTTAACTCTTAAGTTGTACCTGTGTATCGCATAAAAATATAATGGAGTTTGGATATTTGAAAATTAAACTGGCAAATAGGTTTTAATTGTTTTTTAAGCCTAGCTAGTAGTCTTGAGGGGCTATTCTAGCTTCACCGGGCGTGAAGGCGAGCTCACGGGGTTCAGTTCGGCGGATCGGCATCGTGTCCCACCGAGAAGATCGTAGATAGGATTCCATTGCCTGTTTATTTTTAATATGTCTGAAAACTAGGTCAAGTCGAATGTCAAACCGGGTGAAAGAGTGCAGCGGAGTCGTTTAGTCGGGTCCCAAATTCCATTCCTTATGCCCACGGTTCGCTCCCAATATCTACGGTTCGTCAAGTCCCATATACTCCGCACGCCCCCAAGGCCCGGAGACCACGTAGGAGGTTCGGCCCGGCTCGAAAAAAAAAGTCAAACCAGAAGCAATTATGAAACCTTTTGGCCAGAAGATAAATTACCTATGTGAATGGTTTTATTTTAAACACTAATATTATTATATTATACTATATATTATATTATTATGATGTCAGACTCGATCACATATCAAAAGGCGGTTTAATTATAAATTTTAATAAATTAAAAATCAGTTGTCGCGTTAGGTCAACGGACCCGTGTGACACAGGGACGGACTTGGATATATCGCACATACGGTGCGATAACGTCACTTATGCAAATTATGTAATTTTTCGTTGAGAAACGTTGAAAAATTCAACATCTTATTATATAATTCTGATATAGTTCAGCTAGACTATAGAAATAAAATAATATTTAAACTACAACTTTAAACTTCATCAGTAAAAGTAAACATCTCTGTCGTCTCACTAATAACTATTAAAAAATGTATTTTCTCATACTAAGTTCAGTGTTGACAAAAATTGCATTAGTGACTTTATAGCACATATGCATAGCATATAATATAATGTATTTCTGTTTTACAAAAAAACAATTCGCAAAATTATAAGTATACGCTTAATAAATGAAAATTGTTTTCATTTTAGATTCAGTACACGATTTATTCACAAAAAATATACATATATCTTACATATCTAAAAATGAATTGCTGTTCGTTAGTCTCGCTAAAACTCGAGAACGGCTGGACCGATTTGGCTAATTTTGGTCTTGAATTATTTGTGGAAGTCCAGAGAAGGCTTAAAAGGTAGATAAATATGAAAATGCTCGGAATTAAATAAAAAATATGACAATTTGGTTTTTCTTTTGATGTGTCTCCATTGGACGGATTCCTTTTGTTTGTTTGAAGTTTATTTTATATAAAAGTTTAGGTCTTTTATTTATCGATTGAGGCACACGAAGTCTGCCGGGTCAGCTAGTATTTAATAGATATATACATCAGGAATATTGTGTGATAATAATGTTCATAAGATACTTAGAAATAAACAAAGATGTGAGCTCTGTTTACTGTTCACTGTTGTTTGTACTGTCTGTCTAAATCATAGTTGGCTTTTGAAAATTCCATTTCTAAATCAATCAAAAGTAAAATTATTTCATATAGGTACTCCGACCATATCAAAATATTCATTGTTAAATACATATTATGTTATCTGCCAGTGCAAAAAAAAAACGTACAAATATTTATATAATAAGATAATTAAGACAAGTTGTTTCGTACTGAAACAGATTTTCGTGTTTCTATATTTTATTGGTATCGAGTATTAGAAAATACATCTTCAAGACAACACAAATCTTAACCTAGGTGCGGTAAGGTTCGATCTTGCCTGTAGACGACCGGCTAGCCAACCAGAAGCTTGCTGAGCAACCCCTCCAAGCCTACGGGCAGAGATCGCCGTCGTATAGTAACTTAACACACGCGTTCCGCGGCAGACATTCTTTATTACAAACAACAAAAATTACCCAACGCAAGTCACGCGTAACCATTAGAACCAGCGACAATTGTTCATCGTGTACCAGTCAAGGGACAGACGGTCCCACCTCCGGAAACGACGCTGAGCCCAGGGAGCGCGAGGCAGTGGAAGGAAGGTGAACCGGTAAGTCTTCAGACATATTTCGTTCCTTACTGTACACAAGTTTTTTTTCTTCTGAAAATATGTTTGGTTCTTTAACGGATAACAACTTGGAAATAAACATAAAAATCTCGCATTCTCGTCTAGCAACAAATTGAGATTTGAATTCTTTAAATATTACACTATTATTTTTGTAAAGGTTTCGACAATAAAATGTAAATCAGGCCTATTTTCTGACCGCATAGGCAAGTACCACTATCCTGTCTATTGCTGCCACGAAGCGTTCTTGTAATACGCAATACAATTGAGGCTTTGAAGTCATGTCTCCAAATAAGTGTTGACATTCACATTGTGGGGTCTATGGGACCCGTAATGACTTAATACGGGCCGCATTTGAACGTTCTATAGAAAAAGAATACATGTGTGCAATTTATTACACGTGGTAGAAGTGAAACCTTCAAAAATTTTGGCATCAAGATAATGAGACGAATGTAAAATTTCGGATTGATCATAGTGATACAAAGTTTGATAATTATTTTACATTTTATTCGTATATATTACATAGATTTATTCAGAATATATTAAGTACGAATATTAGGTACGAAGCAGAGCCCAAAGAGAACCACGAATATAAGAAAGACTATAATATTATGCTTCCTATCTCATGTTCNACAAGTTTTTTTTCTTCTGAAAATATGTTTGGTTCTTTAACGGATAACAACTTGGAAATAAACATAAAAATCTCGCATTCTCGTCTAGCAACAAATTGAGATTTGAATTCTTTAAATATTACACTATTATTTTTGTAAAGGTTTCGACAATAAAATGTAAATCAGGCCTATTTTCTGACCGCATAGGCAAGTACCACTATCCTGTCTATTGCTGCCACGAAGCGTTCTTGTAATACGCAATACAATTGAGGCTTTGAAGTCATGTCTCCAAATAAGTGTTGACATTCACATTGTGGGGTCTATGGGACCCGTAATGACTTAATACGGGCCGCATTTGAACGTTCTATAGAAAAAGAATACATGTGTGCAATTTATTACACGTGGTAGAAGTGAAACCTTCAAAAATTTTGGCATCAAGATAATGAGACGAATGTAAAATTTCGGATTGATCATAGTGATACAAAGTTTGATAATTATTTTACATTTTATTCGTATATATTACATAGATTTATTCAGAATATATTAAGTACGAATATTAGGTACGAAGCAGAGCCCAAAGAGAACCACGAATATAAGAAAGACTATAATATTATGCTTCCTATCTCATGTTCTCCCACGTTAAATCTTATAAATGTATGCGTCTATCTCTTTATACTGTCGCGTCTTCGTTTCATCGACTATCGAATCATAACGATGCTAAAGAAGTTTTAACTTCAAAAACTAGACACTTTGGTATATTATCTAACACAATTTTTTAAGTCAATACTTAAATATTATTCAAAACAACTTTACGGTTCACTCATTCGTCTATTATAATTTATGTCGTTTTGTTTTCATCGTCACGATTGAAGTGTTACTTACATCTGCAACATGTGAAAATCGAGAAGAATACAAAAAATAATAATAACAAAACAAAATATGTTCTTATTATATTATTAAATGTTGTAATACACAAATGAAATCCTGACGAATAGAAGGCATGAAGGTGGACTTTTGTTAATGATCAATATGTGTGTATTCAATTCAAAATGATTGTTTTCAAATTAGCTATGCTTTACCTCAAATACTCCCTTGAAAGACACACTCGTTAGGTACGCATCGATACAATAACCGAAATAAACGACTGACAATTTGAATTTTATGTAAAAACAAAATTTACTACTCTTACTGGTTGATGAGCACGCAGCCCCCCTGGTGTTAAGTGGTTACCGGAGACCATAGACATCTACAACGTAAATGCGCCACCCACCTTGAGATATAAGTTCTAAGGTCTCAGTATAGTTACAACGGCTGCCCCACCCTTCAAACCGAAACGCATTACTGTTTCACGGCAGAAACAGGCGGGGTGGTGGTACCTACCCGTGCGGACTCACAAGAGGTCCTACCACCAGTAATTAGGCAAACTATAATTTTGCGGGTTTGATTTTTATTGCACGATGTTATTCCTTCACCGTGGTAGACAATCGTGAACATTTGTTAAGTTTGTACGTATTTCAATAAAAAAAATTATACCCGCCTGCGTGATTCGAACACCATTTGAATCGCTAGATACAAATGCACCGGACGTCTTATCCTTTAGGCCACGGCGACTTCAAAATTTTATTACAAATCTGTTTTCTTCTATCTCTAAATTTCTATCTCAATCAACAAAGCGAGCCT